CCAATTTCCTCTCATCTGAGGGTAACAGTTTGGGTCTTCTTCCTGACCATGGCAAAGTGGTGACACATCAGAATAACTTGTAATTACATGGAATTGTTTGATAATATTGGAATCTGCAGTTTTTTGGAAAAGGCTCTAAGAGATCTTCCCAGCGTGTTTCTTCACTAAGATCTATTATTTTTGGACTATCGCATTGTTCAGAGTTTCTGTCAACCCAACAAATGCGAGGGAACAACAGTTAGTTGTGATCACTAATTTGGAAGTGCAGGTATGTCAATGACAACACAGTGAAATTTAAAACCTAAGAAGCACAGGGTTTCATCAAACACATCATCTCAGTGCACAGAAACATCTTGCTCTCCATGGAGTATACCTTTCCTGGCCTACACAGACACGCCTCTTCTTTGACTCCCCTACTTACTGAAACACAAATAACGTTATCAGGGCCTTACACCACTAGGCATAGAAGGTTCCCTCCTAAACGCGCGTGCACGCGCACACACACACACACACACACACACACACACACACACACACACACACACACACACACACACACACACACACACACACACAATGAAAGCCTTTAAAATGTGGCTATCTACTATCCAAACTTCGTTAAGTCAGTGAATAAAATAGAATAGAAAGGAACCTATGACATTGAAGAGACTTTTCCCCAACCATAATATCCTGATGCACTTTAGACCCAGCAACAACATCAGAAAAATTGGATAATCTCAGGGACAAAAGACCCAAACATGAGCTAAGCAATGCTGCACAGTCCAGTGAGGAGTATCCAGTGGCCAGCTGAGGAGACGAGTGAAACACTTGAACAGCAACACCAAAGCAAGGCTGCAGGACCCGATCGCATTAGTCTTAGAGTCCTGCAGCATTGGTTGTCACTATTTCCAATGTCTCCTGGATTGCTGACTATCTGTCAGAGTGGCCTCAGTTTGTACAGCAGGGGGAGTGAGGAAGTTATTCAGGAAATGAATCATACCTGTCTCTATCAAACTGTACAATAACTCGCATGAGCACCCCTGTGAGGCATTAGATTCCACACGCACGGTCTGTTATTAAACCATCTTGCAGCTGGTTCCTAGATTGAATGCGCATTTAAAATGTATTAATCCGATTTGCACCCGTCTCTTGCACAATCTGTTTTGTTTTTACTCTTCTTTAACTTAATTTTTTTTTATCACTGTTGATTATATATTTATATCTTGCACAGTATAATGCCATCACTAAGAGCCTGTGGCATTTTTATTTCAACTATGATGATAGTGTAGTGTAACACAAATAATTTCCCTCGTAGGATCAATAAATTACCTACTTACCTCACAAATAAGCCAAGCTTGGGACCATGTGACCCTTGCAAGTCATGTGCTGATAGGGTGGGTCAACAACTCAGGACCCCCCAACAAGGTGACAACCCCACTAGATGTTTCACACCTGGGATTCTATTTTAGATCAGAGGCTGAACATCTTTAAGAATCAAATATAGAAGTCTATCTGCCTTCAACTCAAGCTCATAAGACGACCATGACCTGGATGACTGAGAACCTACATAAACATGCTCCATATGAAAAATGAAAAACAGATGCACAAAGTAATAAATTCTTTTCAAGTGATATCACTTGAGACCTTATGTTGGAAAACGAAACACAGGCTTAGTATGATGCGAATTCCCTGGAACTCTGCAGCTTTCCTTTTAACACCCAAGCAGACGTGAGGAGGTGACTTCCAGCATTCCTGATTATGCTGAACAGATTTCCAGGATTTTCAATCCTACATTGATGGGAAACTTCAACGTAGAACTTGTCATCTACCAATCGGAAGGTCTGTGGGCAAGCTACTGAGTCCAGAGTTGCTCCCAATGCATCCATCGGAGTGTGAGTGTGTGAACGAGTGTTAGATTGCAGTGATGTGGGCATGACTGGGTGAATGAACCACGTAGTAAAAAGTGCTTTAAGTTCTCAGAAAAAAAAAAGTATAATGCTTTGAGCTTTTTAGAAAAACATTTATTGTTATTTTCACGTTAATTGTGTAGAGGCATGTACTTCATTCACAAAATAGGAACAGTAAAATTAATCAGACAAGAAAAATATATGCTGTCTTCTGTTTTCTTACATTATCAATATATATATATATATACATACATTGTAAAATAGGACATTGTAACAAAAAAGAATCCAGAATGTAGCAAAAAGCAAGTTATGATGGCTACATCTGCACTGCACCATGAACACAGATGTAACGTGTTGTCAGTCTAAAAACAAAAAAGAAAAGAAAAGCTGATATTAGACTGAGGTTTTCAGATCCTTCTTTCATTGTCAAAGGAGTTTTTATGGCTTTATTTATAGAGTTGAAATGACACAGCTAGCTATAGTTAAAAAACAAACAAAAACAGTGACTTTTATAACACCATAAACCCCGTTATCATGGTAAAACATCTTTACAGAAGTTAGGCGCCATGCTTTTGAGCATTAATCAGGTATCATCTCATCGCTGCACAGAAGCTTCTGTCCGAGACCACAATATTACAAAAGAACACTCACTTAAGCATTACAAAACACACACACAGGCGCACTTTAGTCTCAAGGACAAACAGCCCAGAGAGAATACAGGCATTTTTAAAACAATAGGACAAGTCCACACTTTTAGAATCAGTGGCTGTAAATGATAAGTGGAATTAGCAGAGCTCCTTATACACGATACAAAAATGTCTTCTTATTTCTAAAGTTTAATTTCTTGAAATTTTTGAGTGCAATTTTTAGAAAAGATCTACATATAATCAGAACATAACCTTGGCTTGGATCATGATCTTAGAAATTAATTTAACCTGCTACCTTTTTTTGTTTTTTTGATTCAACCACAGTGTCATTATACAATAGTGAATATTCTCCAATAACTGCTCTGCAAAAAGTTATTATAAATATACTTGGGCTCAAAAGGTCAAAGATGATTGGAGGATTCAAGAAGTAAACAAGAAGTTTAAAGATCAGGCTGTTTTGTTGTTTTTTTTAAAACACTCATACCTTTACTGTCCCGTCTGTGATACATTCAGCACATGTTACGATAACACTAACACGCTGTACATGATAGAAACAGCTGTAAACTTGTACACCACCAGTGTCTGGTTGGATATATTCAGCAGGAGGCTTTTCCAGCAACACTCCGGGATGTGATCAGAGGTGTGAGGAATGGCAGACATCAGGAATTTGCTGCATCGCCTTACAATGCTGCACTTAAACAATAACATTTCTTGGAAAAGGAACTCACTCCTGAACAATTGTTATTTGGTCATGCTGACAAATGTGAGCAACACTGTCTTCTGGGTATTAAATACACTTTCCTTACAGATTTCCGCAGACCCCGTGAGTAAATTCCCAGATGTTACACACTGACACGGCACAGGAATTAAACAAGCTCACGCTCAAGATCACAACAATGAGCCGATTCCAAAATACAGACATTCACACATGTCTACAGCAACAAGGTGAGCAGAGGCTGTAGCTCTATCAGAGGGGTTCAATTCACTTTCAAATTAAATCCAGATGAGTTATTACAGGAATTTAATGCATATTAAAGGATATTAAGAAAGCGATTTAACCTGAAAGTGAAGTGAGCCCCGAGGAAGTGATGTAGTGATATCAAAAAGACACACACACACACACACAAAAGAAAAGACATTTAGCTGAATGAGTGGACAAACAGGACTCTTGTCTCCACCTGCTGGCCAGCACTGGTATTGCACGGACATCATGACCCTCAGCAGGTCGGAGCGACAAATGTACAAAATATTGCGCCACGACTACTGTTGAACTCAATTTGGTTATGAAGAGATTGACCAGTGAGGTTAGGATAAAGCTAATATGCTGTAAACACTTCAGGTTCGGAGGTCAGAGCTCCTGACAGGCCAGCCCTTATTTGGCAGAGTGTTGGTGTTCTTTGTAAAGGTTGAAGCACTGAGTTGTAGAAAAACAGGCTGTGCACATTGCGGGCTAAAAATCATGGATCAGCCTCTTAAAGAACAAATAGTGAGCAAGCTTCATCTCCAAAGTTAAACCGTCCAGTCGAAGCAGCAGGTTTTGTTTTTTTTCCTTTGACACAAGTGGGCCATAAAAAAACACATATAAAGCTGATTCTTTTAGTCTGTTAGTAGGAAAGAAGAAAACTTACTGCCACTTCAACTGTTACACACAATCTCTCTCTTTCTCACACGGACACACACACACAATACATTATATAAAAAAAAAAGGAGAAAAAAAATCAAATGATCGAGCAACATCCATAACACCTTTTTTTTTTAAACTTTTTTTTGTTTAAATTAAAAAATAAAAAAATAAAAAAAAAGCAGCACTTTTTTCTTTGATGGATAATCTACAAAGTGCAAATGCGCCATCTTGTGCTCTGATGGATTAAAAAAAAACAAAAAAAACCCAAAAAGTCTACCCAAAACCTGGTTAGAGTTTCCTTGTGCACGGATTCACCGTGTGGTGGAGTCTTCTGTAAGATAGTCCAGGTTTGTTGGGAAGCATCCATCTCAAGAGGTGTCGATCATTGTTACGCGTATACTCGTTAAAAAAATGAGACAACATGAGACTCAAGGGTAAATCGATGCATCTCCACATCGTGTACTGCCTCTCTAAAAAACCAAAAACAAACCAAAAAAAGCTGTTCCAGGCTCTCCTCACTGCAGCTTTGTATCTCCAAGTCTTGGTGGACCTGGGAGGCTTTCAGCAGTAGCACTGATTCACTTTAATGCGGTCCTCGTCAATAAATACTTCAATTGTGAGAGGTTAAAAAAAAAAAAAAAAAAGCAACAGAAATATGAATACAGTATACTGTTAGTATGTGTGTGTATGTTTATGCGCATAACTGCAAACAACCTTGTCTCATGTCTTACGAAGAGAGGTGTGAGATGCGTTCATGACACTGCATGTGGAAATGCTAATGCCACGGAATACATGACTGTGATAATGACTGCATTTCCATAGTTACTGTGAATGGATTTAAATGGGCATCTGCTGGCAGACTGCTGAGAAACTGAACTCTAGCTTTGCTTAAGGCATCGAAGTAGATGACTGAGGTGCTTCTCCTGTGGCAGGAAAGAACAAAAAGAAAAAAGGAATTATATATACATACATATATTTATTACTTACATAAAGCAGTTCTATCTGGAAAAGTCAGACTGACCATTAAGCCAGAGCTACAGACTCGCTGAGAGGTGGCTGACTGCAATTACCTGGTTAGGACTCGCTCTCCATTGAGATTGTAATGGTTTCGCTTTCAGCTGTGAAGACAAGCAGAACAGAATACGTGATAGAATTTACATCAACAGCTCAGCCTTTCTATGTAATAATAACACCCCTGCTGGGACTCACCTGATTTGAGGGTGTCATTTGCCAGATGGTCTCCGATGTTATTAGCATGCTGCTCGTTGCTCAGGAGGCGATTCTGAGACTCGCTGAGTGGACTCACGGTGATGTCAGCAGCGCTGGAAAAATTAGCTGCCATTAGCACCATTTTTCTCAAAATAAAAGCCCTATCAGAAGCTTCTACTATTGCACCGGGATTTAGCACCTTTTACTGGGCTCTGACTGCAGTGTCACTGTGGCCTGCTCCACGTCGGTGTTGACCAGTCGGGTGGGGAACGTCAGACCATCTCCCTGGCTGCAGTAAGCAAGCAGAGAATCTAAAGATTAAGAGCTGTCAACTGATTAGAAAAACCCCCAAAAACCGTGAAGCTGAACTTCCTCAGGAGCTGCTGCAGCCACAGACTGTATATAAAAGATGGACACACCATAATGTTACAAACTGTTCTGCAGACTGCTGTTTTAAAGGCTCGACTTTAGCATCTGGCACATGTACTTTATAAACCCGATGCAACAAGTGATAGGTGGAGCCTGCTTTATTTTATTTTCGTACTCTAATGTGAAAGTATTTAATACAAAAAAGCATTATTTTATATTAAATATGGCTTGAAATTAGCACGTGTAGCCATAATTTAATCTGGAAAACACTTAGACATTTTGTTACAGACTTCTATTAAAAAACAAAAAAAAACAACAACAAGCAACTTGAGTTGCTGCCCCTTGCTGCCCATTACAAAGAATGCAGGTTTAAGACACTCTAGATTCACTTTTCGAATCCATATAGTCTATGCTGCAACAAAGTTAGGCTTATATTTAAAAGAATAACATCACAGCTCCTCCTTGAATCGCTACCTTATCGTGGTGGAGGGTTTGTGTGTCCCAGGATCCCAGGGGCTATGTTGTCTGGGGGCTTTTGCCCCCTGGTAGGGTCTCCCATGGCAAACTGGTCCTGGGTGAGGGACCAGACAAAGAGCGATTCAGAAGACCCCCATGAAAAGAATATCGAGGGAACAGTTTACCCTGCCCGGGATAGGGTTACCGGGGCCCCGCCCTGGAGCCAGGCCCGGGGAGGGTGCCCGAGGGCGAGCGTCTGGTGGCCGGGCCTTAGTCCATGGGGCCCGGCCGGGCACAGCCCGAAGAGGAGACATGGGCCCATCCTCCCGCAGGCCCACCACCCGCAGGAGGCGCCATAGGGGTCGGGTGCATTGTGAGCCGGGTGGCGGCCAGGAGCGGAGGCCCGGCGGACCGACCCCCGGCTGCCAAGACTGGCAATAGGGACATGGAATGTCACCTCTCTGGTGGGGAAGGAGCCTGAGTTGGTGCGTGAGGTTGAGAGATACCGGCTAGATATAGTTGGGCTCACCTCTACGCATTGTCTGGGCTCTGGAACCAGTCTCCTGGAGAGGGGCTGGACTCTGTCTCAGTCTGGAGTTGCCCCTGGTGAGAGGCGGCGGGCTGGGGTGGGTATTCTTATATCCCCTCGGCTTGCTGCCGGTACGTTGGGGTTTTTCCCGGTGGACGAGAGGGTTTGTTCCCTGCGCCTTAGGGTCGGGGAACGGGTCCTGACTGTCATCTGCGCTTATGCGCCGAGTGGCAGTTCGGAGTACCCAGCCTTCTTAGAGTCCCTGGGGGGGGGTGCTGGAAGGTGCTCCACCTGGAGACTCTGTTGTCCTGCTGGGAGACTTCAATGCTCACGTGGGTAACGACAGCGAGACCTGGAGGGGCGTGATTGGGAGGAACGGCCTCCCTGATCTGAACCCGAGCGGTGCTTTGTTATTGGACTTCTGTGCTAATCACAGTTTGGCCATAACGAACACCCTGTTCGAACATAAGAGTGTCCATAAGTGCACGTGGCACCAGGATGCTCTAGGCCGTAGGTCGATGATCGATTTTGTAATCGTATCACCAGACCTGCGACCATATGTTCTGGACACTCGGGTAAAGAGAGGGGCTGAGCTGTCAACTGATCACCACCTGGTGGTGAGTTGGATCAGGTGGCGGGGGAGGACGCTGGACAGACCTGGTGCACCTAAACGCGTAGTGAGGGTGTGCTGGGAACGTCTAGCAGAGGCCCCAGTCCGCGAGATCTTCAACGCACACCTCCGGCAGAGCTTCAACAGCATTCCGAGGGAGACTGGGGACATTGAGTCCGAATGGACCATGTTCAGCGTCTCCATTGCCGAAGCTGCTGCATTGAGCTGCGGCCGCAAGGTGGTTGGTGCCTGCCGTGGTGGTAATCCCCGAACCAAATGGTGGACACCAGAGGTGAAGGGAGCCACCAGGCTGAAGAAGGAGGCCTATCGGGCTTGGTTAGCCTGTGGGACTCCGGAGGCAGCCGACAGGTATCGACAGGCCAAGCGGAATGCGGCTCGGGCAGTGGCTGAAGCAAAAACTCGGGTGTGGGAGGAGTTCGGAGAGGCCATGGAAAAAGACTTTCGGACTGCCTCGAAGAGATTCTGGCAAACCGTCAGGCGTCTCAGGAGGGGAAAGCGGTGCTCTACCTGCACTGTGTATAGTGCTGGCGGAGCGCTGTTGACGTCGACTGAGAAAATTGTCGGGCGGTGGAAGGAATACTTCGAGGACCTCCTTAATCCCACTGACACGTCTTCCGGGGAGGAAGCAGAGTCTGGGGATGAGGGGTGTGACCCACCGATTTCCGGGGGCGAGGTCACTGAGGCAGTTAAACAACTCCTTGGTGGCAGAGCCCCTGGTGTCGATGAGGTCCGCCCCGAGTTCCTGAAGGCTCTGGACGTTGTAGGGCTGTCTTGGTTGACACGTCTCTGCAATGTTGCGTGGAGATCAGGGGCAGTACCTGTGGACTGGCAGACCGGGGTGGTGGTCCCCATCTTCAAGAAGGGGGACCGGAGGGTGTGTTCCAACTACAGGGGGATCACACTCCTCAGCCTCCCCGGGAAAGTCTATGCCAGGGTGCTGGAGAGGAGGGTTCGTCCGCTAGTCGAACCTCGGATACAGGAGGAACAATGCGGTTTTCGTCCTGGTCGCGGAACACTGGACCAGCTCTTTGTCCTCTCGAGGATACTTGAGGGTGCATGGGAGTTTGCCCAACCAGTCTACATGTGTTTTGTGGACCTGGAGAAGGCATTCGACCGTGTCCCTCGGGGCGTCCTGTGGGAGGTGTTGCGCGAGTATGGGGTGTCTGGCCCATTGCTACGGGCCATTCAATCCCTATACAACCGTTGCAAGAGCTTGGTTCGCATTGCCGGCAATAAGTCGGACTCGTTCCCGGTGGGTGATGGGCTCCGCCAAGGCTGCCCTTTGTCTCCGGTTCTGTTCATAATTTTTATGGACAGGATTTCTAGGCGCAGCCAAGTGGCGGAGGGCTTTCGCTTTGGTGGCCTCAGAATCTCATCTCTGATTTTTGCGGATGATGTGGTTCTGTTGGCTTCATCGGGTGAGGGCCTCCAGCTCGCACTGGAGCGGTTCGCAGCCGAGTGTAACGCAGCGGGAATGAGGATCAGCACCTCCAAATCTGAGGCCATGGTTCTCAGCCGGAAAAGGGTGGAGTGCCCACTCCGGGTCGGGGATGAGTTCCTGCCCCAAGTGGAGGAGTTTAAGTATCTCGGGGTCTTGTTCGCGAGTGATGGGAGAAGGGAGCTGGAGATCGACAGACGGATTGGGGCTGCGGCTGCAGTAATGCGGACGCTGCACCGGTCAGTCGTGGTGAAGAGGGAGCTGAGTGTAAAAGCGAAGCTCTCAATTTACCGGTCGATCTACGTCCCTACCCTCACCTATGGCCACGAGCTGTGGGTAGTGACCGAAAGAACGAGATCGCGGATACAAGCGGCGGAAATGAGCTTCCTCCGAAGGGTGGCTGGCCTCTCCCTTAGAGATAGGGTGAGAAGTTCGGCCATCCGGGAGGGGCTTAGAGTAGAGCAGCTGCTGCTCCACATCGAAAGGAGCCAGCTGAGGTGGTTCGGGCATCTGGCAAGGATGCCCCCTGGGCGCCTCCTGGGCGAGGTGTTCCAGGCATGTCCCACCGGGAGGAGGCCCCGGGGCAGACCCAGGACACGCTGGAGAGATTATATCTCTCGGCTGGCCTGGGAACGCCTTGGTATTCCCCGGACAAGCTGGAGGAGGTGGCTGGGGAGAGGGAGGTCTGGACCTCTTTGCTTAGGCTGCTACCCCGCGACCCGACCTCGGATAAGCGGATGAAGATGGATGGATGGATGGACAGCTTTAGCTTTTACTTCAGTATTTAAACAATTATACCAGATTCTTCAGGTTTTGTTTATTTAACACAGAAATCCTGGTCTTCCTGGTTCGGTTGTGCATCTTTTCCGTTAGTACCTACTCAGATCGACTCACCACGACTCAGACTGGCTTTTCCATTACAATCAAGTACCACTAAATGTGTGTGGTTGTTGTCATAGCAACGTGGCCAAGGGTCCTGTGACTTAATTAGTATGCAACAACTTTGCCAGGTTTCAAAAATGTCAGTTTCAGTTTTTGGTAACAATACACTCATGACTCATCTTTTGACGCCATTGACCAGCCAATCGGTGGCATCCAGTCTGACAACGTCACATTTTAGTACCTGCTCTTTTTGTTTAGAACCTCGGCTGAGCAGGTACTATTTTAGTACCTGGTACTATGACCTAATGGAAAACTCTGAAAATCGGGGCACACTGTGGTGAGTCGATCTGATTAAGTACTAATGGAAAAGGGGCTTTAGATCTCCTCTGTCTGAAAGGTACTCCTGGATATTTCCCTTATTTCTCAAGCGGTCGGCACGGCAGATGGAAGTACACATGATTTGGCACACACTTTACACTGGATACCCTTTCTGATGCAACTCATTTATCTGGGCTTGGGATCTGCGCTAGGAATCCACTAGCTTGTTACCTTCAGAGGCTTGGGTTTTGTCTCCTCCCGGGAATCTTTTCTGTGTACGGCAAACCACAACACTCCCTTTAATGTCTGTCTCTCTCTCTGTGAAAGTTTTTCTCTCTCTCTTTTTTTTTTTTTTTACCTTGTGAAGACGGGCAGCAGCCAGTACTTCTTCTGGTCACCAAAGACCTGAGCAATATTCTTTCGGAAACCCAGAGAGAAACCATTTTTATCAGAGCCTGTCCTAAAGACTGGTGCTCTGAATGCCTCTGCAGGGTAAGAGGAAAATGAAAAGAGAAGAGGCAGACAGAAGGGAAAGAGAACTGTTAGACAAACACTAAAGGAGGGGAACAAAACTCCGTCCCTAGCAACAAAGTTATTCCAGTGATAATGATGACAAAAAAATGACATTCAACTTGACAAACTGTTAGAATATTTGAAATCACTGCTAGATATTAAATACAAGGAAAATGATACCTATTGTCGACCTGTTCTTCCCTACAAGCCAAAGGTGGTAGCTGAAGAGGGACAAAATACTGATGCAGAACATGGCGGCCACAAAAAAAAGAAACAAGACGTGGAATTTGGCAGGCGTGTCTGTCAGCTCATTCTAGGGGGAGAGACGGGAGAAGAGGAGAGTCAGGCAGCCATCAATAACAAATTCACATCGGAGATATTTCTGGAAATGCAAGAGCAATGACAGAGAGCTGATATAAACAAAAAGAAAAAAAAAGGCAGAGAAATGACTTTTAAAAAAGTCTCATGTGAGCCACTTCACTTGCATGCACATCACGAAAACAACGGTGAGGACGGTGGGGGAGGGGGGAGGCATCGGAGGATGGCTGTGTTACCTTTGGGCAGTTTTCTGCCGATTTCCTGCGGCAAAGCTTTAGTACAAACAGAAACAAGAGTGGTTAGCAACACCAGGAGAGAACAGACGGGAGGGGGGAGCACTTAGAAATCAGGAGGCAAATAGAAGTCAAGGCCAAGTTGGGTGGAAAAGTGGGGAGCTGCGGGGGAGGTGAATGAAAGAGAGTGGGTTGAAAGAAAACTGTGCCCGGACTGGCAAGAAACAAAGGGATAAAAGAGGAAGAGATGAGAGAAAATTGAAGTGAAACAGCTACGAGAGAGAGAGAAAGGAGGTGTTTGCGGGCACATGAGTGGTGTGACTGATGGCTCCGATAGTGGAAAGGGAGGCAGAAAAAGAGAAAAGATCCGAGAACAATGAGCCAGTGTGCGAGAACTGGGGATAAAAGAAAGGGGAAACAGAGGGGTAGGGCGGGGGCCGGTCAGAGGGTGAAGGGTGAGAGAGGACAGAGAAAACAGAGGAGCGGCACAGCGGAGCACAGGAGAGGTCAGCGCCATGCACAGCCAACTCAAAGAGATGCTCATCCTGGCTACGACGTGCCACCCGATTCTGCATCTGTGTCACACATTCACTCCATGCTGTGGGGCGAGTGGGCATAGCGTGTCGGTGCGTCGTTACTCACTGTCCAGAATTTAATGAAATACTGCAGGACGGTGGCTGCAATGAACAAACAGTACACCAGCGAGTAGGCCAGGAAGAGGATGAAAAACTTGTAGTTGGAGAATCCCACACAGTTGTTCACCCTGCAGACACACAAACACCACATTTGGATGCAGTTTCTTTTCCAGTGCAGAAACCTTATCAAAGTTTGCAAAAGGTGGAGGCTACTGGTGAGGTAGCACCAAACAAATGGCATTATCAAGCAGTTTCTGAAAAGGTGTAGCAACATGTCGTAATTTAAGGTATGTTAGTTATAAAGCGTGAGAACAAAGTAAAATGAACTTCTGTCTAGAAAGCACTTTATTCTTGGTTAACTAACTCAATGCACCAACAGGATGTGGCTCTTACATACCAGGGACAGTGATGATCCATCTTTAGCACACACCTGCCAAAAAATAATAATAAAAACAAAAGATTAACTTTAAAAAACTGAAGAGTAAGAGAAAAATTTTAAGGAAAGAAGAAAATTCCCTTACATGTCACATGCTGAGCAGTGATGACATCTGTCTGGCTTGATAACTTGACAGCGGTCACAGTAGCGGATCGCTGCAATAAATTAGCACAACAATCATCATGATAACTCAATTCCAAACAGAACAGATTCATTCTCATTTACATTCAGTGACACAGACGTACCGCCAGCGCCTGTGCGGGTGTACAGAGGGAGGCTGCTGGCAGCTCTCCACAGGATCTCTTGCTGGGACTCTGGCCTCTCCTCCTTCTCATAGCGTTCCTTTTCAGCCTTGGGGAGGCAAAACTGGAGGGAAGGGAGCAAAATACCTTTTTTAAGCTGCCATTTACTGCAGCAGGGGATTACACACAGGCAGACAGAGCAGGCTTGTTTTGTTTTGGAGGATTGGATTAGTGTTATACCTCTTTGGAAGGGTTAGCAGGCTTGGTGAAGATGGTCTTCCAGTAAGACCACACAAACATGACGAATGAGAGGTGGAAGAAGATCAGGTAGACAACTGGAGGGGGGAAACTGAGCATCAGGATCAAGGACATACGCACTGATATGTGGGTTATATAAGGAAATGCCACTGTAACGCAAAACATGGCCTAAGAGCAAAAAAAAAAAAACCTACGCTGTTAATTAATTAGAGAGGAAAGCTAATAGTTTATGCTGGATGAGGAGGAGCTGCTGGGCTATAAGCAGGCCAACCTCAGCACTTTGAGAGGAAACACAATTTCTGTGCCAGCCTTTTCTTTAAAAAGCCAAGTCTACAGAATACTTTTCCAGAAACTTAAGTAAGATTATGCCAATAAAAAACTCTTAGCTCAGTAAAATTCCATTTACGATTTATTAAACAAACATTGTTTGATGTCCTGGGACACTTACTCTGCTCTCCTATGCTGGGGATGGTGACTGCAAAGAGAAAACATAGACAATATATGTCAGATATTATATATACTGATAAACTTTTATACATTATGGTGGAAACAACCATATCATTTATCCACACTGTATTCACTTCTACAAAAATTTTCAAAATACTGATACTGTACATGAGTAACGAATTAATTAAAGGGTTGGCATGTTTTACAGTTATCCATATCAGAAATTAATTAACTACAGCCCCCTGCCCCCTTAATTAAGAAAAAAAGTTTTCCCCTATGCATGTAACCAGGTCCCATATTTACGCCAACATATCTGATAAAAACCAAAAGAAAACCAGTAGAAACTTTCACCTAGTGGTTTATCTAATAATAAATAAATAAAGCCTAAAAATGGGGCGGGAAGAAAAATAAATAAATACATAGTCACACCTCAGGAGCACAGCAGCCATGCAATCTTTTCTATTGCCCCATTAATCTCCTACACAATGTCAAGACAATTTAATTAGTCCACCTTGCTGTTGTTAAGTGTACATTTTTTCCACTTCCAAATAGTTAACAAAGATTAAGTATTAGGAGCTGACTAATAAAAATACACATGTTGAATTTTTCACAGCTGAATTACAGCACTTAGACATAACCTTACATGAATTTATGTATTTATTTTTTTTTTTGGGGGGGGGGGAGACAATCCGCAACTATTGCCTTAAGCCAGTTTAACTAAAAGAGACATGTTGTGTGGTATTTATATGTCAGCCAGTCAAATACCGTTTATTTCTCCATCCACACTCATTTAATTTCACATAAAACCACAGAGACGAGACGGGTAGCTTTAACATAAAAAAGACAGCACAGTGCTAGTTTTTCTTTGACTAAAACCGTCCTCTTTTGAATATATGGCAACCCAGGCGATGGCAACCAACAGAAAATTAGCTGGATCTAGATTTGGACGGGTTTGCCAACACCTTTGTTGGGCTGCAGTTCATTTACTTCCTGCTGGCCAGCAGCCGCCGCTGTGTTTGTGTGTGTTGTCAGGAAATATGGTTAGCACCGGCTTTTAAAGGCCTTGAAAGAAGCGACAGACGACGGCGAGGTCTCTACTTACATATACAAAGCTCCACCACGTAAGCGTAGTACGACCAGCAGACGACGAGCGCGATAAAAATCACAGGTATCCATGCTAAGCCCCGTTGACAGCATCTCAGTACGTGTGTGGGCGCCATCTTTCCCCCTCTACTGTGGAGAAGGGAGTGTCGACGGGTGACGTCACGATAATAAAAAATGTGAAACAGGGAGGTGAGCCGAGCGATGATATACGACCAGGAAACCAAGTATAGTGCTTCAGTATAAAACATAAAATACAACAAAGGCACCAAGCCCAGCTAGGTTATCACAGTTGTATAACATGTAGCACGGCAAACCCTAGTAATGTAGACTAAATTGATATATTTCCTGCTGTCTACGTGTCCAAATGTATCTCTGTATAAAGAATTATGGATTTTAAATAATATAGAAAAATAAACCTTAAGATGAATATGTTGGCAATAATAAATCGGTTTAATTGTAATTATACTATTTATTTACCCGTAATTCTTAAAAAAAATATACTAAATACTCGACATACTTTTTAAAAAACATTAAATCTTTTAATCGTTTAATCGCACTTTGCTTCATAACACTAACACATTTCTGATCCATTGGTGTGGGTTGTTTTTTTTCAAATGCATTTTGAAATAAAAAGCAGTGAGTTTTATTTAGGTTGGATTTTACTAAGTTTTTCGTAAGTTTTTTTTTTTTAAAAGTAGGCATTGTACTTTGAACTTCCTTGAATACGCCATATTGCTCACAGCCGGACAGAAACACAAAGTGAAACACGGGAATAAACCTGCTTTAAGTATATAGAAACGCCATAACCAGAAGCGAAAATGACTTCCGTGGAAATGGACTTGGGGAAATATTTAGCTCGCATCGGGTTTACGGGCCCCGCGGAGCCCAGCCTGGAGGTGATGCGGACGTTGCACACCTGCCACCTCCTGTCGGTGCCGTTTGAGGACCTCACGGTGCACAGCGGGGGTCGAGTCAAGCTCGACCTCCCCCTTCTGTACGACAAGATCGTGAACCATCGCCGAGGAGGCTTCTGCTATGAGAACAACAGCCTCTTTCGCTGGCTGCTGACTGAACTGGGCTTCCAGGTGACTATACTCTCAGGCCAGGTGAAGAACAGGTTCACGGGTTGCTACGGGCCACCTTTCGACCATTTCATCCTACTGGTTGAACTTGAGGGCCGGCGATGGCTGTGTGACGTCGGGTTCGGGGTTCCCGGTTTCAGTGTCCCGCTGTCACTGGACACTGAAGACCCCCAGGAGCAGAGCCACCGAGTGTACCGGATCAGGAAGGACCTGGAGATGCACTTTGTGGAGTGGCAAGAGGAAGAAAACAGAGGAGTAGATGGAGACTGGAAGGAGATCTACAAGTTCACCCTTAAACGTCGGAGTAAGGAGGACTTCACTGAGATGTGCCAATACCACCAGACCTCCCCCAGCTCCATCTTCTTCTGCAAGTCCCTCTGCACTGTTCTGAGACCTGGCGGGAGGCTCACCTATATAGGCCACAGATTGATCACCACCACATTCCCAACAGAAGAGAACAGGCATGTGGTGGAAACCATCACAGAACTTAAAGATGAAGAGATTCCTGGTGTTCTAAAGGAAAAATTTGGAATTGCACTTAATTCCACGCTCATAGCAAAGGATGAGAAAATCACACCACCTCTAATCACATATTAAACATACGCACAGTTATATGGGATAAATTCATACCTCTTATGGCTCCATAACAACAAAATGTATGAATACTCTTAAGATTAGGGCCAATGGCTTTTGTTTTTAAATCCATCTAATCACTGAGGTCTGAGCAAAGCAATTTATACATTATTTTAACCTTTAAGTTAGAAAAGTCTCTACCTCTGTTAAAACCCAGATGTACTTGTTAATCAATCGCAGACACTGATCTGCCGTGAGAAAAGATGCAACAGAAAATAAACTGTCATTCTGATTTAATAAATTATACATACACTTTTAAGATGTACAATGGTCATTGCATTAATCCACATCGGTCCTTTAAGACAAAGTCCCCTTCCAAAGTATTTACACATGTACATTTAAATCAGGCAGCACTTTATAAAGCAAGGCATGAATTTCAATACAGATGTTGGGCTTCAAATGAAAACTTTAATGCTCCTGCCTATTCTGTTTGTTTGAGGGGATTACTCAGCTGTCCAGTTATTACACTAAGTTTTCCCATCCTGACTTTGATGAAATGAATTTGAATAACACCCATAAAGTCCAGCAATAATCACAGGTGATTTCAAGGATTACAGTCTGAGGGTTGAGCTGAACCCCCCCACCCCCCAAAAAAAACAAAAAAAAAAAAAAATAGACAGGCCATGGGCTGGACGAGATGTGCGCAGGGTCATGGGTTCAAAAAAACCAAACATGGCATCATGTGACACAAATATTTATTCTACGACAGGGTTGGAGGGTGGGATTGAGCTTCCTCTGCCAGCTTTGCGTTCGTAGTTGACAAGCCTCTGGCCGACCAGGTACCTGCAAAGACAGATTATTACAGCATTATTACTATTCATTTTTATGCACTTAACTGAAGGCTACACACACAGTATGAAACAATAATCCAAAAATATCCAACTAGAGCAAAAAGTCTGAACAATGTGTTTAACCTTCTATATTAAAGCTGCAGTTTGTTTTTATAATGATGCACCAAATGATACATTTGAAAAAGAAAAAAGGGGGGGGGGTAGTTTTTTTAATTAAAAACAAACAAACAAACAAAACAAAAAAAACATGCTGCTTTCTCCAGACTGATGAGTGCTGAAAGTTTCGTACTTGTCGTTCTTGATGTGTTCATAAAGACGTTTAAACTGTCGGATCTGAAAGGAGAGGATGCCGATAAGTGAGACGACCATCAAGAGGAAGGGGTAGATTCTCCTCTGCATTAGAATCTCCATCTCTGGGGTAACGCCTGCAAAAACAAAGCATAATTGTACTCAGTTATATGATTTTTCAAGAGTTCCCATTATTCCTATCATTAACTCCATCAAGATGAGAAGAAATGTGATATTTTGGGGACACCAGTTATGTTAAATTAGGTGATAACTATATTAGAATTATTACCTAGTGACGGTACATCTCCAATAACAAGTCCAAGTGGCAGATTTATCACCAGTTCAGTGCCCAAACAAATCAGAAGGTAGGTCACAATCTGCCACTTTTTTGGGGGAGGCTTTTATTACAAAAGCAGTGTATTTATTAGTTTCATTATCTAATTAATAGCATCCATGTGTAAAAATGTGTAAAGTGTTCCCTGATTGGATGATTGAATTCTACTTGATGAATGGGAGAGAACATATTATTGTGTGTGAGTGATTGTGTACAGTCGTGGCCATACGTTTTGAGAATGACACAAGTAATGGGTTTCACAAAGTTTGCTCCTTCCGTTTTTATGACAGCAGTTTCCATATACTCTGAATGTTATGAAAAGTTCTTCTTTGCCATGAAAACAAACTTAACCCCCAAAAACATTTCCACTGCATTTCATTGCTACCATAAAAGGCCCTGCAGAGATCATTTCAATCTTCTAGTTAACTCAGGTGAGAATGTTGATGAGCACAGAACTTGAGATCTTTATGTCTTGACTATTAAGTTAGAATAGCAGACTGGATGTGTTAAGAGGAGGGTGATGCTTGAAATCATTGTTCTTCCTGTTAACCTTGGTTACCTGCAAAAAAGAAAACAGAAACAAAACAAAAAACCCCATGCAGCCATCATTGTGTTGCATATAAAGGGCTTCACAGGCAAGGATGTTGTTGCTATTAAGGCTTCAGTCTGTCCCTAATGGGGGACAGACTGATATTCTGCAAAAAAGCCTGGAGAAGAAAAAAGTGAGGCTACCATGTCCTGAGACCATTCATCTGTGGGGCTGCTTCTCATTCAAGAGAGTGGGGTCACTCACAATTTCGCCAAACCAAAACATCCTCCGACAGCAATTTCTTCCAACTATCCAAGGACAGTTTGGTGAAGAACAAAGTGAGGCCAAAGTGATAACTAAATGGTGCTGGGAACAAAACACTGAAATTTTGGGTCCATTGCCAGGAAACTCCCCAGACCTTAATCCAATTGAGAATTTGTGGTCAATCCTCAAGAGGCGGGTGGACAAACGAACTCCAAGCATTGATTATGAAAGAATGGGTTTCCATCGTCGGCCTTGGCCCAGAAGTTGATTGACAACACGCCAGGACAAATTGCAGAGGTCTTGAAAAAGAAGGGCCAATACTACAAATATTGACTCTTTGCATAAACGTGATGTAATTGTCAATAAAAGCCTTTGAAACTTATGAAGTGCTTGCAATTATACTTCAATACGTCACAAAAACACTGAAGCAGCAAACTTTGCAAAAACTAATATTTGTGTCATTGACAAAACCTTTTGGCCACGACTGTACACATCGTTTTTTGTAACTGATGATGGTCGGTTGGACCGAAATATTGTGATTTTAGAAAATAATGGGAAGTGAGACAGAGTGTGGAGGTTATAATTTCATCCTTTAAAACATTTTTCCCCCTCTGGTTTATTGCTGAACTCACAAAAAGCTTAAATCTAGAGGAAACCGTTAGTAATTTCCATTTCTTTTGCCACTAAGACTGCAATGTGCTGTATATTGTCAATGAGAAAGTCCTACTTTGGTTAGGAAACTCTTCAAGTGACGCCTTAAGATCCATATGCAGAGAGATACTCACCTACAGCCGGTACCACCCCGGCAGCAATCACATATGGCACACATAAAGACAACAGCAGGACTGAAATGACAGGAGCTGCCAGTTTACGGATGATGAACTGGAGATCAATGTTGCGAATTCCATTTGCATAAACCTAGAGAAAGAGTTTACACTTTATAATGTACTAAACAGTTAATTTAATTCATCTCCAAGAAACAGACATGACAGAGATAGGGAAGACAGACTAGCAAACTACACACTGTGAGTCAACAGAATAAAACCCTTTCAAAGTTATGTAGTCAAGAGTCTGATAGTTTGTAAAAATGTTTACAGTGTATCAGTTGGATATTTGGTGTGTCCAGTACCAACCTGCTCAATAACAGTCTTCAGCCACCACTGAGGGCCCATGAGAGTGATGGCAGCAATAATTTTGGCATGAAGAACCCCGAGAGCCCAAT